AGTATGTTGCATTTTTATTGTAAATTTGATGAAAATTTTGAATGTTTTTTTTTTTTAATTTTCATATTATGCTTAAGCAGTATACCTAAATATTTGTAACAAATTGATATTAAATTTTTTGTATAAAAGTATAAAATTATGATAAGAGAAATATAAGCTATAAAATGCTACATTTTCAATAAAAATATCTCTAATTAGACAAATGCAATAAAAGAAATTAATTTTAATTTTTTAAATCAAATTTTAAATCTTTTTAAAATCACTAATAATTTTTAAGTAATTACATATACTTGTACACAATTTTTAATGCCTAATTAATTGGTATAGTACAAACTCAATGGCACAGTACAATTGCTATGAAGATTGACTGTTTTATGTATATACTTATACAATATAAGTGTGTCTAGAAATATATAACATAAATAGAAATTTTTAGTACCAGTGCATATTGGTCCATTCACATTCCTACATGATTTGTAAAGCCCCCAACTTTTCATTATCAGATACATGTAATGTGAACTTTATTACATAATTTCATATTGTATTCGGTTTGTGTGTACCTTTGCAGCATTAATTTCAATTTCATTTGATGATTATTTGAAAGCAATCTATTTTGAACAATCATAAAGTATTACTGTTAAATTTTTTCTTAATTTTTCGTATTAATTAATAATGTATAAAAGTTAATTATTATACATTTTTTATCAATGGTAAAGTAAACTATGCAATATGAAATAAAAAAATAATATAAGGAATTATGCAATGTGATAGATAATTGGATTTGACAATGTATAACAAAAGTATGATCGCTACATGTTATATAAGGATATTAAGTTTTATAATAAGACTATAAGAGCATCTATATATGTATTTTACCACTGTAATATTTTCATACAATATTTGTAAGTTACTAAGGTATATTACTAACTCAAAATAATTCGATTAAGACCATATTTAGACTCTTTAGACTCTTTAGACCATATGAAAACCATTTTCATTGAGATTAAATAACAATTATGCATATTTAATTTTTCATACATTTTTCGCTCATCATTCGCTGATTTTGTGCTCAGACAGTCAAGATATTTTACTTACTCTCATTCTCAGCCTCTTTCATAGACAGTTTTGTAAATCAGTTACCATACACAGAGCTGATGCAAGTTCTGTTGTACAAATGTTTGATGTTGGTCCAGAGCTGCAAGCAATTATCTAAGATTAGCATGCGAGCAATTATTTAAGACTATATATACATATACATATTTTCT